TTAACGTTAACGTTAACGTTAACGTTAACGTTAACGTTACGTACGTACGTACGTACGTACGTAGTACGTACGTACGTAGAGAGTNATAACAGATACATAATTTATTTAATATCCTCAGATACATATTTCAGCATCAAATTACCAGGCAGGGGGGAGAGTGAGAGAGAGAGGGGGAACATAGAGACACTACCAGTTGACACGTGGAGATTTAAAATGAAAAACGATCATAGCACATTTTCTGTATTTATGTGTGGAATGTACACTGATCAATTAACTGAGGAGCAATAGAAATATTTGAATAATAACAAAAATATAGATGGTAGAAGTGTACAAAAACACAAGATACAAAAATATATACAGAAAACTGTTAAATAGTATGCATCCAAATAGGTTTCAATGGTAGTTCAGATCATGCAAACTGTAATTTTTTCAAGTTATATCAGGTTTTTAGATTAACATGATGCATTTTTTTCTACGCAATTAACTAAATGGATCTGCAGTTGATCTTGCAATGAAAGCTACTGTACTTGCAGTGTTATTCTATAGTTGCTAGTTTTCTCTACATTTGCAGTATTTTGTCCAAATGCAAAATCTTAATTTTCTTTCTCTCTTGCAGTGCTTTGAGCTCTCAGGGCCACCGTAGCTTCGTATTGAAACTGATCACTACTTGAAGTCACAGAGAAGGACTACAGTAATGAGAGAGAGTGAAGGTGACCGGCTTCGCCAAGGTCAGAGGACTGATGGGAAATGTTCCATTATTGGCAGATAAGATGGTGGTTCTCTTGGTGATAAGTTCACAATAACAGAGCTTTTGACAACAAAAAAGCAGACGTGATACCCAATAAAAAGTGGACTGATGCAGCTCCAAAAGCCCTGGTTCCCAAATTGATTAATTTAAATATCCAGGATCAGTTTAAAGTACACATTGATATCAGGAGAGTCCGAAAGTCCTAAACTTCTCTCAGAGATAGAAAGATTCCCAAATGGCCCCTTCCCATAATCCCGTGGATCACTGCAAACACTTTTGCATCTCTCGGACTTCCACACATTTTGTCCCTCACATACTAATGTGAATATTTATTCATATTTGATGCCACTTTAGATAAAAATCAATGAGGTAATCAAGTTGTCGCTATGAAATCTGCTCTCCGCTGGCGCTTTGCATATTCACTGACGCTCTCATCATTAGAAACTCATCCATCGACGCCAGCGCCGCGACGCGCCTTTAATTGGTTTGATCAAACATATTGAGCTGCGTCACACACACACGCACGCACGCACGCACGCGCACGCACGCACGCACGCACGCACGCACACACACACTAACTAAGTTGTGATAAGTGCTGAATCGGTATAATTTTCACAAAACACTTCAAATGCAAAACTGGTGTGTTTTGTCAGACAGAAAAGTGACAGTGAGATGATGTGTGTTGCATTCTGGGAAAAAAAGGGCCTGCTGGGTTGCTTTCGCCAAGGTCAGCTAAGGTCATCAGACGATCTTGGACGGGACTCTGAAGAAAATTGTTGATTCTTCCAAAAATAATCTGGAATTTGGAGGGTCTGTAACATTTACTATTCAAATACTTTCCTCAAACATTTTTCCTTCTTTGAAAGTGCGTTCCTGCCTCTTGGTCCTTACCGTTCCAGACCTATACTAGATGTTTGTATTGCACAGGGACCCCAACACGGAGGCAAGCATCCATTTGACATGAGGAATATGTGAAATAAAACTTTTTCTATGACAAACCTTATTATAATCATCTGCTAAGAACGATGTAATGCATTATTTTGCTATTGGAACTTTCCTTTATGTCAAAAAGAAGTTAAAATAGGACAACAGTACAGTCCTCTAGTCCTGACAAACAGTGAGGAACTGTTCACATTAGACGAACAAACGGAAACAGCAGATAGCTTCCGCTGGGATGGATTTTTAATACAATGTATTAGCATGGAGCACTTTCCAACTACAATGTACATAATGTGTGAATTCGTCAGTTTGAGTGTCTATGGAGTGTGTGTGTGTGTGTGTGTGTGTGTGTGTGTGTGTGTGTGTGTGTGTAAGTGCCTTTGAAGGCTCGCTCAGCCTGCTGATGGAAAACCTCTCATGTGTCGAAATGACCGCATCACCTCTCTCTGCCCGCACACACACACACACACACACACACACACACACACACACACACACACACACACACACACACACACACACACACACCCGCACGCTCACATTCCCTTGCGCCTTACCGCTCCCACAAAGCCACAATGCATCTTGGGAACCATTAAGGAAACCAGAGACCACCGCAGTGGGCAAAGGACACAAACAGAGGGAGAGGAGGAGGTCGAGGGAGATAGAGATGGATGATAGAGAGGGAGAGGGAAACAGAGACTGATCATTTCTCTGTGAGGCTTCAATATGATGGTGATGGACATACTGTTATGTATGGAAACCACTCTGCTGGTGCAGGTGAGACTGAGATGTGTTTTACATACGGGACTACTTGTGTCCTCACAATCATTATAGTATCTTACAATTACACACATTTGCTTGAAATACACCCAATTTGCACCAATGCATCCTAGTGCTGTTTTCCGAGGGTAATGACACACATTGCAGAATTTGATATGTCACAATCCCCCACGAGCATCTTCTCTGTCAAAGCTTAATCCCAGTATGCTCACACCAACAAACACTTTTCTTGAAAAGGAACTGAATTCATAGAGAGAAGAGGTACAGAGGGAAATAAAGAAACACAGAGGTAAAAGAGGAGAACGAGAAGATTTGATGCTGCTGATACTGACAGACGAGGAACCCGAGAGGCTGCACTTTAATGCTAGCCACTGCACTCTGCTGGAGCATCCATCACACACACACACACACACACACACACACACACACACACACACACACACACACACACACACACACACACACACACACACACACACACACACATTGTAAGGAATCAACATCTGCAACTATTGGATGGATTATCTTGAAAATGAATTGTATGCAGATCAAACATTTGTGGTCCCCAGATGATGAATCCTACAGAACCCTTGAATTGCTACCATGTTCATTATGTCTCCATCATTTCCTCATCCCTTGTTGAACTCTCTCTTCTCTCCTCTTCTGAGATGCAACCTGATCTCAGTGGATCCGGTGTCATTTCTCTGCTGTAACTAAAGTCCAGTTTACTGCAGTCCACTCGGGTGTCCGGTGACAACACACGAGAGAGAAATGGGTCCTTCTTCCCTTCCCATCTTCATTTTGTCTTCTTTTATTCCCCCTTTCTATGACTATTTTCTACTGTTTATCAGACTTCTCTCATTTCTCCTCTTCCCTTGTTTTCCCTGTTTGCACTTATGTTCACTAAATCAAAAATATGTCTTATCTACAGACCTTGATTGGAGCACATCATCTTAATTTTCTTCATTGGTTTATTATTAGCTTCAGAATTGACTTTACAATCAAAATGTTGCTTTTTTTAAAGCTCTCTTTGGTCTCCATCAGGTCTTCTTGAAGTGGCCTTTTAATTATCCATATGTCATATGGCAGAGTATTTTTAATTGTTCATTATTGCATGGTTTTTATGTGTGTTTTTCATACTTATTATTCAGATTTTATTGTGTGCTTTTACTCTGAAATGTGTTTGCTTTTTATTTGCTTTTACTTCCTGCTGCATGCTTTTATTTTTAAATCTTTGGATTGGATTTGAACCGACTTCTGCCATATTGATTGACAATGAGTTGCCACACCTTAAGGGCCAATTTGCACCAACGGGCCCTGCCTATAAATTGAAGGAAAGAGCAGCACGAGAGGGACTGAGAGGCAGCAGAGGCAGAAGACAGACTGGAGACAGCAGAATCAGAAGGAGGAGAGCAGGAACCAAGAGACCCCGGCAGTCAAGGAGAGCGAGTGTGAAGCTCAAGACAGAAGACCAATACCTTATTTTGTGAGAAGCGAACACTCTCAAGGAAAAGACCTGTTGATTTTTTAAGAAAAGTGACTGCTGCTTGTATCTAGTGGGAGTGAAGCTGGAGCAGCTGACGGCCTTCAAAGAAGCAGCTGGACGGAGCACCTTTGCAGGTTTTAAATAAAATAATTTTAGCATTTGAATTGTTTGTATTGTTTTAAGTGGGGTGAATTGTATTTTAAAATAGTTTTAGGCTATTTTTTGTTTCTTAGTAAACTTTTTATGTTCTCCTAAATATATTTATATTAATTTAAACTTGAGTAGTTCCTTGATTACCCAGTTTTGCTCTCTACCTGATTTTTTTTTTCAAAACGTTCCCTCTCCATATAACCTGTAAAATAATTGTTCTGCTCTCCTCCACCCCCCCATCCTCCCTGTCTTTATCTCTCCACAGTCCTTACACAAACCTTTAGAAGTAAACCCCCAGTCAGGCATCCATTTAACGACTGTGGTTCATGGATAGTATCAGTGCATATTATTAAAAACTCCAGACTTATGTTTTCAATCAAGTTTTTTAAATTCTGTTTATCCATATATTCATGTATTTTAGACAGTTTAAATACATGTTAGGAATTCAAATGGACTCCCCCTTTCGGAACTCTCTGCTCCACCCTCTACCAGGTGTTCCTGATCTGCACTAACGACCCATGTAAAGGAAGGCTGGAGGAAGAGGAACAGTTGTCTCTCAGCTGCCGGACGCCTCGCCATTCAGTCGCCTTAGTTTGGGATTTTAACCTTTTTATCTTCCTCATATATTTCTGTTGGTTCTTTTAGGTATGGAAGATATGCTAGTCCAGTTTTCACAGCTTTATTTACTTTGTTTTAAAGAGGCCCTATTAGGCTTTTTTGGGGTTATCGCTTTCCTAGTGTTATAGTTTTTGTGCATGTAAATGGTCTGCAAAGGGTAAAAATAAAAATCCTTGTGTTCCCTCTAGAGGAGTTGCATCTCCCACAACACCCTGCCCCCCTGCCTGAAATGTCTCCATTGGACTCCTTTGTTTACCTCTGTAACATCACTGTGTAACACTCATGCTTCTATTGGCTAGAGCTCCAACACATTGTACCTGATGGGCTAAGGGGTGGGACATCTCTAAGCAGCTGACAAAACTCAACAGAGCCGGCCAGCTAACCAATCGGAGCAGACTGGGCTCTGGTTTCAGACAGAGGGTGAAAAGAGGTGCTGCGGCACAGGCAGTATGAGAAAATAAATGTTTGGACATTAAAACATGTTCAAATGTCAGAGGCACAATACCCTGTCTAAGAGAATTTGAAGAGAGACCCCTCTCTTACAATCGTGCAGCAGCTCTCTTCAGTCTCACTCGATTCCTCGGTCTGTCCCATGCTGCCGACTCTGCCTTTTTAATAACTAATCTGTAGAGTTGGGGTTATAGATCTGATAGTTCTAATTATAGTGGGTCACCATGGCGATATGATAGCCAGGAAGTATCATCTCCCTCTACACTAGACTGGGCTGATCACATGGTTTCACCTGAGGAAGGCAGCTTGATGGACAGGTTCTAATTACACTACACTGCTCACTTTGTATCTTTCATTCACACTTATCACATTTATATTTGATGTCAAGATTAGTTGGTAGTTTAACAGAAATTTAAGATTAGCTTATTGTATTTCCCAGGAGCTCTAGAGCCCCCACGTGTCAGTAGTTTTAGTTTGGTTACTTTAAATGCAGATTTGTTTAAGAATATTAATCGCTTTGAAATTATATTGTTTTAATTATGCATATTATTTCAATTACTAAAACATAGTATTGATATACAACAAACCTTGGGCAGAAAGCAGGGGGCCCAATTGCTAATGTTTGCCCCTTACCACTGACTGAGACAACGGAACTAGAAGTGTTAATATGCTGACTCATTTCTTGGTCTTGGTACTAATTGCTGCACCAGTCTATGCTCCTCTGATGGAGTGTGTGTGTGTGTGTGTGTGTGTGTGTGTGTGTGTGTGTGTGTGTGTGTGTGTGTGTGTGTGTGTGTGTGTGTGTGTGTGTGTGTGTGTGTGTGTGTGTGTGTGTGTGTGTGTGTGTGTGTGTGTGT